GTTATCCCTAGTTATGGTGGTCACGTGGCGTCATATATATGGGGCGGGACGGAGCGAAATGTTTTGCGCTGTTTGAGTAGGACACAGTTGTGTTCTGAATTGGTTAATTGGCAAGGTCGTCTTGCACAGAAGCACCTCGAATTAATTGATGGCAGTGGTTTGTCTTACTTACCCGGGATTATGTTTAAGTGTCTCGACTGGCCGTTGATTTCTGCTTTTGTTGAGAGATGGCAGCCAGATACGAACACGTTTCATGTGCCATTTGGGGAGATCACGATCATGTTGCATGATGTGTACCATATTCTTGGGCTTCGGGTTGATGGTTCCATGGTTTCCCCTACTCCTAGCACAGACGTCATACGGGACGCTGATGTGTGGCATTTATGCCACCATTTTACTACCGATTTCCCCCGGATTTGTCACTTGCTTATGCCTATTTTAACCCCTTTTATCTTGATTTTAGTCACTTTAGCCCCCTATCGTATTTTTCCTCCCCTTTTTGTCTTTTCTTCTAGTTTTTACCTCCTTTTTATGTGTTTTGACAGCTCCTAGCGCTTATGTGCGATTCACGAATCAATAGCTCGAGTGGAGATGCCAAAGGAGCTTGGCAAAGGAGTGGAGATGCCAGGATGGAGAGGGCGCGCTGTTCTGATGGGCCGCGGGCGCGGGCTTGTAAGCCGCGGGCGCGGACAGGAAAAGTCTGAAGCCAGCAGAAGAAAGAGAAGATGGCGAGCCGCGGGCGCGGAGCATATGTGCCGCGGGCGCGGCAGAGAAGCCCCGCGGGCGCGGCTTTCTGGGTTTTACGAGGCTATTTACCCAGCTTGGAGAGGGCGCGGCTGCCTGTTCGGAGAGCCCTCTCCCTTGCCCTTTTTCTTCCTTTTGGTAGAAGACTATAAATAGTCCCTTGCATGATTTTCTTAGCATCCACTATTCCATTGGCCCCAAAAATCATTGGTAGAGAGAGAAGTTCATGGTTTCTAGAGAGAGAAAACACTAGTGTTCAAGATTCAATCTTTGTAACCAAATATTCAAGCTTTCTTCTAGATTGTTGCTACTACTTTGATGATTTGGTAATCTTTAATCTTTATAATATCAATCTTTACTTTTGTTTCTCTAGTTTTTGATCTTCTTTGTTTTATTGCTCTTACTTGAGTTTATTTCCATAAATATTCAAGCTTTATTAGTTTCTTTGATTTTCCTTTCAAGTTAGAATCATGTTATGTTGTGTTGGTATTGAATACATGCTTATTTTAGTTGTTATGGCCATTCCCTTCCTTCTAGCTTAGGTTTTTAGCTAGGGAAGGGGGTGAAAATCATGTGTATTTGAATATCTATTGATTATTGATTGGGACTTATTCTTGAGTTGATGATTTGAGCTATAATATGCTTGGAGTTAGTGTGTGCACCTCTAATCCCAAGAATCTAGCCCTTGATTGAGATGAGAATGATTTAATCTAGGTGTGAATGATTTCGTCGACTTGCTTAAGTAGTTGTATGAGAATGAACTATTTTAGGTAGAGTTTATACTCCTAGAATCGGTTTCCTTTCGGTTTTCACTAGTACTCTTTGTTCATGATTGAATCCCCCTTTCCCTAGTGCTTTTGTCATTGTTATCTCTATAATCTTGTCCATTTATTTGCTTTTAAAAGTGTTTAATCTATTTCCCTTATTTCTAGTTTATTCTAGGCTCAATAGTAGTTAGTTTGTCCATAGAATTCTTCAACACAAATTCAAATACCACCTTTTGTTATTAGCAATTTCTCCTCGATTTCGTATTAATTGTGTTAAACCCCCGTTTCCTTGGGAATCGACCCTAACTTACCGCTATCTAAAGCAAAATTTGATAGAGCTAGGATAGGAGTTATAAATTGTAATTTTGATCTAGGATAATAAACTAACGACCTATTGTCCACCGACCAAAATTTTGGCGCCGTTGCCGGGGAAACGGCTAGTTTTGCACACTTATTTGCGTAATTTGTGGATTTTGTTGCTTTTTGTTTAGTCCCTTTTCCACTTGCTAGTCATTGCTAATTGTTTGTTTAGCTTTGGTGAATGCAAAGAAGATCTCAAGGACCACCTACTCACAACCTTGATCACGAAATTGACCGAACCTTGAGACAAGTTCGTAGACTCTATCAAGAAGAGGGAAGAGGTTTTGGTGCAATTTTTGATAGTGAAAGTGATTCTTGTTCCTCACATTCCCAAGGTGACGAAATGGCGGGACAACAAGTGGATGTATTATTCCGTGAGTTCGGTAATCCGGAGGATTATGAGCTCACCGGTGGGATATTGTTACCCGTCACTGAGACTAACTTCACCATCCATCCTCAATACACACGAATGGTTCAAGCGGAGCAATTCTCGGGTTCGCCAAGTGAAGACCCCATTGAGCACCTTGATAGGTTCCTCGAACTCTGTGCCATGATACAAACCAACCAAGTTTCTCAAGAATACATTCGGATGCACCTATTTCGGCAATCTCTTGCGGGGAGAGCAAAGAAGTGGCTCAAGCAAGTCAAGCCTAATTCTCTCACGACATGGAGGGAAATTGTGCAAGCATTCTTGAAGAGATTCATCTCCGAGGAGAAAACCGTCGAGATGAGGAGGAAGATAGCATCTTTTGAACAAGAGGCGGAGGAGAGTCTTAGTGAAGCTTGGGAGAGGTTTAAGGAGTTGGTTTAAGCATGTCCTCACCATGAGTACAATCAAAGCTTACTCATGAGGTTCTTCTATGATGGTTTGGAACCGATGTCCCGAGCTAATTTGGATGCAGGAGTGGGTGGACAATTGATCAAAGTCCCCCAAAATCAAGTTGAAGCAACGATCGAAGAGGTAGTTAAAAATTACTCTTGGGGAGAAGAAGGAGGAATGCACCAAAGAAAGGTGGGAAGTATGAGTTGGAGAAGGTCGATCAATTGCAACATCAAATTGAGATGTTGACAAAAGGGCTTGCCAAGTTGAATACAAGTGTTGCTAGTGGTTCAAGCTCCTCCCAAGTCAACTCTTTCTCTTGTCAAAATTGTGGTGGCACCAACCATGATACATCCTATTGTGGCGGGTTGAGCCCGGAGCATGTAGCGGCATACAACACAAGGCAAGAAGGGTATAGGGGAAATGGTGGAGGAGTAGCTTGGAGACAACCACCACCCGGATTTGCAAACCAACCTCAACAATGGAATCAACAGGCTCAACAACCATACAATTCCAACACCCAATATCAAAACCCTCCTCCATTCCAAACCCAAAATCAAAGTGGAAACTACCCAAGAAACAACCAACACAATAATCAACACCAATACCAAAATCAAACCCAAGCAACTCAAAGAAGTCAAGAGCAAGCATCTCAACCCGATTCTACTCAAACTCAAATTCTTCAACAACTTCAAGCCATGAATCAACAAATGCAAGAAGTCAAGGCTCATAACAAGATGGTTGATTCACAACTAGCACAATTGGCCGAGAGAGTTCCTTTTAACTCATCTTCCACTTTGCCCGGACAATCACAAACCAACCCTTCCAATATTGTAAAACCCGACTCTTGCAAGGCAATCACATTGAGATCGGGTACATCTTATGAGAGTCCCAAGGAAGAGGATGGTAAGGAAAAGGAGGGAGAAGAAGAGATGAGTGATGATAAGAAAGTTGAAGAAGAGAAGGTTGATGAGAAAGAGAAGAGTATGGAGAAAAAGAAGACTAAGGATGTGGTGACATCCTCAACTTCTAGTGAGGCTAGAAACCTTGATGGACCGGTTCCTTTTCCCGGTCGGCTTGCGGAGAGAAAATTGAACGATAAATTTGCAAGGTTTCTAAGTGTGATGAAAAACTTACACATTAACCTCCCTTTCATTGAAGTTGTCACACAAATGCCTTCATACTCCAAGTTCTTGAAAGACATTCTCACCAACAAAAGGAAGCTCAATGATGAGCTTATCACTCTTCCCCATCAAGTGAGTGCACTTGTTCAACACAAAATGCCCAAGAAGCAAAAGGACCCGGGAAGCTTTACCTTGCCGGTCAAAATTGGGAACATGGAAGCTAGGGGTGCCCTAGCCGACCTCGGAGCAAGTGTTAGTTTAATCCCTCTATCCATTGCTCAAAAGCTTAACATTGAGATGATCCCCACTAGGAAAACCATTCAATTGGTCGATCGATCGGTGAAGCTACCTTGTGGCGAGCTTGAAGATGTCCCT